TTTCAACTGAAATGCTATTTATTCTTCTGATTCCTTCTTCTAATCTGTTCTTTGGTCTACCTCTTCTCCTTTGGCCTTGAGGATTCCGAGTGAAAGCCTGGAGCCCTTACGCGGTTACTGCCAGTTACCCAACTCGGAAAAATAAGTAAATAGTGACTCCCCCATCCCTTAGAAAATAGACTCACTAAAACGACACTAACCAGAAAAAATAATTCTGAACATTTAAACTCTCACACATTTGAAATCATTAATCAATCATCGTTTGACTACCATTAGAAACCTGGAAGCACAGAAAGATGGCCGTTTCGTCCTGGTATGAGACTCATCAGCGATGTGCATCCACGACTCCTGCTCCTCGCAGGATTCGAACCCGGGACCTTCGGTCTTGTGAGAGAACGCCTAACCATCGGACCACTGGGCCGGCATCCAACGGTGTTAATGTCTAACTCTGACTGATCTACGCACTTTGCGCGACCTCACCCATTTGTCTTTGATAGTTATTGCCTACACCCTACAGGGTTGAACTCCATTGGTCACGTCTTCTCATCTAGAACTCCAAGAATTCGCTCACGAAGCTAGTCACTAGTGAGCACTGTTACGATATTTTCGGCCAGAGTTTTTGGAGGTTTGTGTTTTTACACATTTGAAATCATCAATCAATCATTGTTAGACCACCATTAGAAACCTGGAAGCACTGAAAGACAGCTGTTTCGTTCTGGTTTGGGATTCATCAGCAGTGTGCGATTGGTTTGATTTAAAAATTCATTATTATAACCAATTGAACCAGTGATCCTTTAACTGTACTTTTTATTGATAACACTTTTTTTAAGCGCAACTTTCTGTTTGTGTTGCTGCCATTCTTTGTTCAAGCTAGCTCTACTTAATTCGCCCACTCTCCTGGTTAAATTTCGTTGCTGTTTCAACATTACGAAAACACAAGTAAATATATTCTTTAGACAGACAGACAGACAGATACAACGCAGAACTTCGTACGTAAGTACATCAGTTCAGGTTGCCATGCCCCATCAGCACACAGACGCAACTGTCAGTTCAAATCCAAACGTGATAGCAATAGTAGAAGTATTAGCAGTAACGGAGAAGATTGTGGAGCGGAGAAGTATAATTCGGTAAGATAAATTTAGGAGAAAGGTAGAGATTATGAGGAATGCAGAAGCTTAGAATTTTGTAGAAAACAAAGAGTGGATGCACTTGCGCCATTGCAAACGATTCTGAGCCATGTCGTTCAAGGTCCCTAACCATTAATGACTTTCGTTTCATGGACCCCAACCAGGTAGCCTACATCTACCAACATGACTCAGTCCACTTGTCAATGACTTCATGGATTTCTGCCATGTTTTGGTCTGGCCGCCCCTAACTTTCTTCCAATCTACTCCTACACTGCAAAACATAGCTCTTCGCGGCAATCGGTGGTTAGCCATACGTAACACATATCCCATCCACCTCAACTGATGAAGTTTCACCATTTCATCTATTGATTTGCCATCGTTACCTAGAACTCGTTTACTAACGACAGCATTGCTTATATGGTTGTCCCATGATACACGAGCAATGCTTCGGAGACACCTATGATCGAATACTAGTAACCTACGGAAGTCCTCTACTCTTAACGGCCAAGTCTCGCATCCGTACAGTAGGACGGAGCTAATCGCTGCACAATAAACTCTTCCTTTAGTCAGCAAACGGATATCTCGCCTACGCCATAAGTGACACAGGTTGGAAAAAGCCAATCGAGACTTCTGTATCCGAGCTGAGATTTCGTCAGTCACCAGGCCATCAGCACTGATGAGACTCCCAAGATAAGTGAAGCGGTCTACACGTTCGACTACTTCACTCCCTATCACTAGTTCAGGTGCCGATGCAACCCAGTCCTGAAGCAACATTTTGCATATCGATGGTGAGAACCGCATCCCGAACATGCTTGTATTGTTGCTTATGGTGGTCAGAAGATTCTGCATTTTGTCAGCATCTTCACCAAGTAGGACAATGTCATCTGCATATTCTAAGTCGATAAGTGAGCCTCCTGGTAAAAGGTATACTCCTGAAAATTCAACGAGGATAGGGTTATTTCTATGACCATGTCTAAATATATTCCTTACCCTGGATTTATTTATCGTCTCAGTGACGCAGTCACCACTAGACTTGCATCAACTAATTAAGTTAAAATGGCAAGACTCGAATCTATGAAAGAACCAATCAGATTTAAGATTACCAGTGCTTGGATTTTGGTGCGAAATTCAATCCCGCTTATGGTTAAATACCATCTTGACATAATATCTAATGTCTATGTTTATGATGGAAATCCTTATAGTAATTCCTAAGCGTAAATTTTAACTCTAAATATCTCAACTTTAATTCTTATTTATCCGAGCTGGAGACCGGCAGTATCCCCAAAAGGGATCCAGACTTGTACTTGGAATCCTCAGGGCCGAAAGGGGAAGAAGATATAAACAAAATGAACAGCAGTTGAGTAGCCTTGTAAAGAATGACCCAGGACAGAATAGGTTGTAAAATTCTCGTCTACCACCTATGCTCCATTATGGGGAACATGCATGACTCTTGCTAGTGAACTTTTATGTAACAGGATTTTATTTTGTCAAACTTACCCTTAGCACTAATCGAAAAATACTTATACAATGCTCAACTTAATAAATACTGTACATCAATTTCGGTATGAAAGGACCAATCAGATTTAAAATAAGCAGCGCTTGAATTTTGGTGCGAAATTCAATCATGCTTATGGCTAAACACCACTCACTATGTCAGTTCATGATGAAAACCCTTATATTAATTCCAAACCCTAACTTTTAAATCTATATTTCAATTTTAATCGCACACACTGATTTATAACTCTGTTGATAGCTTACTGTGTCGGTTAGATTCCTCAAGGTCAGTCTGATATCACTCAGACGCTGTCCATAAATTATAGTATTACCAGTTTATATATGAGCTTGAGGTATTTGTGAATATTTAAAATTGTTTTGTGCAAAAATTTTTGGTTATTCATACTTACTTGTTCATAGGGTTGTAGAGATCGTTGAGTTTCATTTCATTCATGAATCGATAAATGTTAGACCACTATTAGAAACTTAAAATTACCACATGGCCGTTTCGTCCAAGTATGGGACTGGTCAGCAGTGAGAATCTATAATAACCCCACAAGTGGAAATAAAAACCAGCACCTATTGTCTGACATGAAAACGCCTAACCTAGCCGTCATTCAACATTATTAGCATCTATTTCCAATCGGTATAAGATATTTCGCTGGATCACTGATACTCTCACTGCTGATGAGTCCCATACCAGGCTGAAACGGTTTGTCCAGTGCTTCCAAGTTTCTAATGTATTGGTCTAACATTGATCCAGGCATGATTTCAATGAGGAGTTACTTATTTCTTTATCCCATTGTCTGGCAGTGTGTTTGACTTTCTCACTATTGGTTTAAGCTTTCTATAGGCGTATTGTTTCAATCAAACAGCTAATCTACCATTCCTATTGAAATAATGAAGTCTTACCATGAAAAATCAATATGAGTTTGTTGTCATCAAGAAATGATGTTCATGTCATGATACTACTAATCATAATAATAAGTGACTGATTAGTTTGAAAATTATTTATAGAATTAGTCTGAGGATGTTTTTTACCTTAAACTGTTATCGTCAGTACAATATGATGAATAGAATTAATCTCATCATGATTATATTTGATAGATTTCGTTTGTTCTAGAATCACGATAAACGATTCTATAGTAATTCTGTTAAGCGTAGCTCAGGCGAATGATGATAATAATGGAGTTTCTTCATTCAGTGAGTTTGATATTTCGGTGGTGTAGCTTTCATTGTTCCTTCTGAACAACCTCATTAGCTGATCTGATGATGTTGTACACAAGCAAACCACATACAGCTCAAAGAACGAAACTCTCTCATGATCACTTTAGTGTGAATCCATAATAAATAACGTTTATAGGATGTAGTTTTTTTCTGGTTAGCGTAGGACCCGCTGGCAAGACACCATCAGCAACACCTTTACTGTGAGATAGAATCAAACAGATTCCAGATGAATAAGAAGTTAGGAAAAAGCGCTGAAGGTGGATAAGACACACACATTGAGTAAGGCATTCAACTTCGTCATAACAAAGGCCCTCACTCGAAACTCCCAAAGCCAAAGGAAAACAGGAAGACTAAAGAACACATTATACCGATAAATGCAAACAGACGTGAAGAATGAACAATAATTGAACTGAACTAGAAAGGAAGGTTAGTCAGAGAATGCTGATCGGCGGCCTATGCTTGATTTCGGGTAACTGGCGTAAGTAAGTAAGTTGTAGTGAACGAGAACACTGGTGGGGCAACGGGACTGTGTTTATCGAGAATTACAGAGTTACTCACTGTAAAATCGGAAAACCATATCGTAAATCGTTAGTTAATTTGCAAAATATCAGTTCATCATATCGAACTGGACTGTTCCTGTTGCAAACAACATCAATCCATTGTCACTCACTATTCATGCGTTTCATACAAATTCCATTGTGTTCTTCTAACTCTTCCTTTCTTGATCTTCCCCCGCATCTTCTGCTGCCAGACATTACGTTTACACTCACGTCATATACTACTTATAAGTAGCTTACACCACAAAGTAAGTAAATAATACAGTGTAATGACTCATTATTGTATTGATAAAATTTTTTAATCTTATTTCTTGATTCTCTTTGATCATACGCTTGTGTAGATTGTTGAGCTTCTTTATACATCATCAATCGATCAATATTAAACTATCATTAAAAAACCTTGACGCGCTAACGGGCTGTTTTGATTCCTTTGAGGGGCGATAGTCATGGATGTGCACTACCACAGATGACTCCTAGACCAGTGTTTCCTTCCAGATTTTGTTTCTAATGGCAGCTGAATACTAATCGATGTAAGATTTCAAAAGTAACTATTTATCACAACAACAACAAAATAAAACATTTCATAACCACTTACTTATTGGTTCATTATTTTGCAACATTTGTTGTGTTCTACGTCGTACAAAACAAACAGTAAATAGTATGATTAATACTAAGATTGAGAAAAAACTCGATAATCCAATAATCAATAATTCACCAAGTGAATATTTCCCGAAAAAATAACTCATTGGCGCGCTGTAATCATTTGAGAAAAAATTGGCTGATAATAATGAGGACGAGGCGGCGGAGGCGGACAACGACGATGATGAGATCGAGTCAGCATTGGATTTTGAAATGTAAGTATCATCCGATTGTTGACTGATCGATAAATCCATTCGACCATATTCATTGGATTTGATTTCATCAATCATATTTGATGAACTACGAATCTGTATGCAGAGAGATAGTGAGGGAGGGACGGAGAGAGAGAGAGAGAATTATACAAAATTTGAAGAAAAATCCATCAGTCTAAGGTATTCAGACGAGAATTTCATAATAAATAAGTGTGAGTGAAAGAATAGTTTGTTTACTATCTTGAATGTGTGTGACTATCGCTCATCAATAAGCTACTGTCGATCAGTCAGTCAGTAGGTTATATATAACGAAGAACTTCGTACGTAGGTACGTCAATTCTAGTTGTCATATCACATTAGCAGATAGAGATGGAATAGTCAATTGAAAATCCCATCTTATTAGACGTTTTAGCCGTAATCAAAACGATTGATGATCATATATATCATTCGAGATGTATACCCCAGAGGAATCGATGAAAAATGGCATAAAGAATGAATACATCTGTGCCACTGCATACTATTTTGAGCCATGTCATTCAAGATCTCTAACCATCGATTTCTATCATCTCGCGGATCCCAATATCTACCAACATAACTCAGTCCATCTCTCAGTGACTTCACAGATTTGTACCATGTTTTGATTTGGCCACCCCTAACTTTCTTCTAACCTACTCCTCCTACACTACAAAACATTGCTCGTCGAGGAAGTCGATGGTTAGGCATACGTAACACATGTCCCAACCACCTCAACTGATGACGTTTCGCTACTTCATCTATTGATTTGCCATCCTTACTTAGTACCCCATTTCCTAACAACAGCATTTCTTACTCGATAGTCCCAAGATATACGAACAGTGCCTCGGAGATATCGATAATCGAAGACTAATAACCTACGAATAGCCTCAACTGTTACCGGTCATGTTTCGCATCTGTATAGTAGGACGGAGCGAACTGTTGCTCAGTAGACTCATCATTTGATGATTTAATGTAAGGTCTAACCTAAGGTATTCAAGTCAAATAATAAGCAAAATGTTGCTATCCAATTTTAGAGTTGAATAGTCCATATTATTAATACGAGGTTCATTAACATTGTTGAAAAATCAATTTTTGACCTATGCTAATCATAATTATATGTATATATTTTTGAAATACTCAATTAGTTGGTGATACTTGATAGGAAAGTAAACCTATTTTGAGACTAAAAGGAATCATAGATTTCATACAATCTATGAAGTTTTACTTTATAGTGAGAAACGTAGAATGTGACGTGTACTACTATTATGTTGGGCCCATTAGGCTTGTCCCCCAGCCTTTGAAAACAAATTAACTAAGTCATTCTTTTGGAGTTTTGCACACCAGTTTTCTCCAACCAACTCTGTCCTAGGCTTCTCTCTCCAGTTCTGTCCAATAATTGTTCATTCCTCTCATATCTTTCTCTGTTTCTCGGAGTAGTGTGTTCCTTGGCCTTCCTCTTTTTTGTCTTTGACCTTGAGGGTTCCATGTGAGGGCTTGTCCTGTGACGCGCAGATTGGTGTTTTTTGTAGTGTGTGTCCTGTCCACTTCCACCACTTCTTCCTGATTTCCTCCTCCACTGGAATCTGGTTTGTTCTCTTCCACAGTAAGTTGTTACTGATGGTGTCTGGCCAACGAATCCGAAGTATTTTGCGTAGACAACTGTTCATAAATACTTGTATCTTGTGGATGATGCCTTTAGTAGTTCTTCAAGTTTCCGCTCCATAGAGTAGAACTGTGTTGACATTTGTATTGAAAATCCTGACTTTGGTTTTGGTTGAAAGTTGTTTTGAATTCCAGATATTTTTCAACTGTAGAAATGCATCCCTTGCTTTGCCAATCCGCGCCCTCTCATCTGCATTGGATCCACCTTGGTTGTCGATGATGCTGCTCAGATTTGTAAAGGTTTTAACATCCTCCAAGGCATCTCCATCAAGAGTGATTTATTTGCCAACTACTTCACCTATTATTACATGTCTGGTGGCTTATTTTGTCTTATTAAAAATACTTGGTCATGCCATATCGCATTAAGTTTAGCTCACTCACCTTCTCCACTTGAGTTCGCAAGTGCCTTTACCCTTTGCATTCTCATGTCTGTCTGCCTAAACGAACTCATGAAATAAATTCATCCCTAAAACAGTATCTGGCTTCTTATTACCGCTGTTGCACAGACGGCATTCGCCTAAGTATGATCAACATACGGTGTATACATTAAACAGCTTTGATTTATTTCTGATGTCAAATATATCCATATCAGAAGTCCTTGTATTTTCGCCATACTTCGTCAAGTTCAAGAATTCAGTATGAAGTACGAACTAGTTAAGCTATACCTTAAACAAGTCATGCTGAGAATTATGCATTAGAACCAAATTTACAGTATCGAATGAATAAATATTCTAAGGTTTTTACACTAAGAACTTCAGAGCTGTTTGTTTCTTGTGTAGAACTCATCTCAGCAGCAAGCATCCATGAATGTAGTGCTTTAGATGTAAATTCCATACCTTCAAGTTTAAGCTCTCATCACATTGCTTGAACATTTCGGTCCACGGTAAAGTCGTGGATCCGCACTGCTGAGAGGTGTCACAATAAAGCGATTATTATTATTGCTGTTTTCAGTGAAATAATGAATGGATCATTGTTAGACCACCATTAGAAACATGAGAGTACTGGATGGTCGTTTCGATGTAGTATGGGACTCCTCAGCAGTGCGCATTCACGACCTCCGCCGTGGAAATCGAACCCTCTGACCTTCAATCTGGCGTGCGGATGCTCAACCCCCTAGACCATCAGTGAGCCGACATCAAAGGGTGTTAATGTCTAACTTTTAAGAAATCCACGATATTGTTTTCAATATGTTGTTTTCAATAGGTAACTGCCTACACCCGACACAGTTGAACTCCACTAATCATGACTTCTCACTAGAACTAAGAGAAATGTCCTCACAAAACTAGTCACTAGTGAACACATTTCACTGAAAATCAATAATTTTCACAAAAAGACTACCATCTTGATTATTAAGTGTTAGGATATTCATCCAATATCCTAAGAGAATTATAGGTCAATTCTTATTGGTTAATTCCTACTGGTCAATTTTATGATCGTCCTAGATATCAATGTCACATACTCCAATGTTGTTTCTTATTGGCTGGCCTGACTATCAATGTCACTCCAAATGTTGCCTTCTATTGGTTGTCTTAACTGTCAATGTCACAGACTTCGATGCTGTTTCCAATTCGACCTAAATGTATAAATACACATTATCTGTAACGTTTTATGACCAGGACCCGGATCCCTAGTCCGCGATCCTTGCCTTCTTCTGGACTCGGACCTCGTACTTTCTGGTTGCTTGTAGAATACATGTTCTACTTCATATCAAGTCTTCTTCTTTTAATCAGTGGGAATCGGGACACTCGGATTAGAGTAGCTTGTCGTGTCACCGGATCCCCACTCTCGTTTTCAGACTAAGGTAAACTCGTCATAGTTCAAGCATATCAAAATGACATGTTTACGTATGCAGGCGTAACATTAAATTACCTGAATTTGTAGATTCGGGAAATGTGTACATCGTCTCGGTTCACCATGATCACATGCATCCAATGCTAATAAAAATGTCGGATAAATTAGATCATTCCCGTGATTATTATTCATATTGGGATTTCGCTGTTGTTGCTGCTGATTATTTGTTAAATATTGCCTGGGTATTTGACTTTCCAAATATAATAAACCAGTTCTTGAATCAATATTAAATAATACACCAGCTGTTTCACCTTTAATTGCATAAGATATTTGTCCATTTAAACCTTCGTCTGGATCAATGGCTAATAACTTAAAAAAATTTTGAACAATGAATAAAGCGCAAAGCAATGTAAACAGATTGAACATTGAACAAGAGTTATCATTGATGTTGAAAGATATTGACAATTAGTATGAAGAATATTTGTGTGTGTTTTTGACATGAAAAGAGATTTCTTAGTAGACTGTTTGTAGTTTTTAAGTTACTTAGGAAAGGTAAGTAAAATAATAGCTATTTCACAATAAGACGTAAAAGGAATAAACCTTAGAATTAGAAAAATTGTTCAAGTGGTTACTCAGTCAGTCAGTCAGCTACAAGACAGAACTTCTTACGTATGTATATCAGTTCAATTTGCAATACCACATTAGCACAGAGATGTTATTTTCAATTTGAATCCCATGGTAGTAGAGGTAGTCGAAGATTAGCAATAATCGGAGAGATTAAGCTTCAACGATTTTATTCAAGAAGTAGAATCTAATGAAATAACCTTAAAAAGAAAAATATAAAGTTGATGAGGAATTCAGAAGATTAAGATTTGAAGAAACACAATGATTGAATGCACCTGTGCTATTGCAGGGTCATTCAGAGTCTCTAACCATCGATTAATATCAACTCGCAAGCCTCAAGCGGGTGTAGTCGACACCTACCAACATGACTCAGTCCACTTGTCAGTGACTTTATGGATTTGTGCAATGTTTCGGTCTGGCCGCTCCTAGCTTTCATCCAACCTATTCCTACATCTCAAAACATAGCTCCGATTCAGTCTCGTGTGCCTCCATGTGTATGAGGGCGGATGTTACTTCCCCGCTGCCCACACCGTGGAAAAGTTTTACTTGAGGAACCTGAAAACGAAAGTAGATTAGCGTTGGTCTTACCGACCTGAGAGCGTGACTGCACAGCCCAAGGAACAACTGCTTGAGGCCGGTCACGCACGGCCTTTTTATGAAAGAATTTTTGAGTATTAGCTCCGCTCTTGAACGCCCTTAGTGGGTACCCTTACCGACGGAAACGGAAATCCGTGAGGTAGGGTGAGGTGTGAGATTTTTGTGAACGACCTTTCGATTTGTGCCACGTTTTGGTTTGTCCACCCCTAGTTTTCTTCCAACCTACTCCTACACCACAAAACATAGCTCGTGTAGGCATTCGATGGTTGGACAATCGTAACACATGTCCTAACTACCTCACCTAATGAAGTTTCAGTACTCTAGTCAGTGGTGATTAGATGCATGTTCCAACTAAAACTTGTTCGTTTTATCTACTCTGTATTTTTGTATTTAATTCCTGTTAAAAAATTCAATATCATTTCCAAGGAATTCTTAATGGCTTTGGTTCCATCTTGTGCATACACAATTTTTAAACTAGAGAGAAAAATTGATACATTCCTTTGCAGTTGTCATTATAAGGTTGTGGAGATTGTTGAATTTCATTGAAATCATGAATTGATCAATGTTAGACCACCAATAGAAACGTAGAAGCACTATGAAGTGGTTTCATGTTTGCTTAAGCCACTTAATAACTTATACACATGCCTCTAAGTTTTCTGTTAATTAAAATTCATTGATTAGTTAGTTCGTCAATTCATGCTTCACATCGTACCCTTGCTATTCGATTAATTTATGCTGTACTGAAATAAACTGTTGCAATAACTCCATTTCATCGTTTTCTAAACTGTATACCCTTAGGAATCGTAGTAGTCACGAGCATCAAGACGAGTAACGTACAAAATCGACATGGTATACAAAAATAATCCTCACTTTGTTAGGGAAATTATGATCAGTAAATGGAGGAAGAGAACGGTGCTCTAAAAAACCACATCACCACTAAATTTATCCAGTATTTTTCCTAATTCGTTTAAATTCCAGATTAACAAACTAAGACTGATCACTTTCTATGCTGTAAAGGCATTTTAGTAAAATAAGACTCTCTTTCTTTGTTCACGTTTATCCTAATAACGATTGCATGTTAACGCCATGAGATTGCCACTGGACAAAGGCATTTGTGAGCACAAAGTCGACAGTGAACATGCTGAAATTCTGGATCGGAGTAATTTGAGGTAGAGTAGATAATAGTTTTTAACTCTATTCCTTATTTCAACCCGATTCGCTAATGCCTTGGTATGGCTGAGACTTGGGAGAGTTCACGCATGTAGAACCACTATCAAAGATATCCTACCGCCTGCCACCTGACGACGGGGTTGTTACTTATCAAACTGAGAGGACAAGAAGCAAATTCTCAACCCTTTAACCTTATTGACAGGTGCGGAGGATCCATCTAGGGGAGAATTAGAAAACTCCGATTATAAACCAGTGGTGCACATAAACTCCAGGATCCTCGAGAGAACACATGATGTATGAGCCTACCAGTGGTCACCGGCAACCGTATGACCTTATATATTAACCTTACTCCACTGCCCTATGGGTTAGACCTGATGGTCAAGAGACTTGAGAACTGGCTTCGTAAGAGAACAACTTCTTACCGTTTCAGCATCCAGGAATTATTTCAACTCATATACAAATTCAATAGTTTTGATACTGCTCTCAGCCAATGTTTATGCATTGAAATGTATAAGTAATAAATAATATCTTAACAAAAAATCAATAAAGGCAATTGAATAAATCTAATTATATTTACAACCAGCTAATATAACTAAATATAATAATGATCAACAAAACAAGAAAAAAGCGATTATCCATTTGAATGCGAAAATAACAAGAGAAGAATGACGTGAGCAATATAAGCATATCCTAGATTGCAGAATACTGGTCATCCGCATATGCTCCTTACTTATAACAGGTATAAGTAAGTAAGTAAGTAAGTAAGTAAGTAAGTAAGTAAGTAAGTAAGTAAGTAAGTAAGTAAGTAAGTAAGTAAGTAAGTAAGTAAGTAAGTAAGTAAGTAAGTAAGTAAGTAAGTAAGTAAGTAAGTAAGTAAGTAAGTAAGTAAGTAAGTAAGTAAGTAAGTAAGTAAGTAAGTAAGTAAGTAAGTAAGTAAGTAAGTAAGTAAGTAAGTAAGTAAGTAAGTAAGTAAGTAAGTAAGTAAGTAAGTAAGTAAGTAAGTAAGTAAGTAAGTAAGTAAGTAAGTAAGTAAGTAAGTAAGTAAGTAAGTGCATAAGTAAGTAAGTAAGTAAGTAAGTAAGTAAGTAAGTAAGTAAGTAAGTAAGTAAGTAAGTAAGTAAGTAAGTAAGTAAGTAAGTAAGTAAGTAAGTAAGTAAGTAAGTAAGTAAGTAAGTAAGTAAGTAAGTAAGTAAGTAAGTAAGTAAGTAAGTAAGTAAGTAAGTAAGTAAGTAAGTAAGTAAGTAAGTAAGTAAGTGCATAAGTAAGTAAGTAAGTAAGTAAGTAAGTAAGTAAGTAAGTAAGTAAGTAAGTAAGTAAGTAAGTAAGTAAGTAAGTAAGTAAGTAAGTAAGTGAGTAAGTAAGTGCATAAGTAAGTAAGTAAGTAAGTAAGTAAGTAAGTAAGTAAGTAATAGTGACTAACACGGATTGTTAGGTGTTAACGGATAGATTTGAATAATCTACACTGTTGAGGAGTCTCATACTTGGATTAAACAGCTAGTCAATGCTTCCATGTTTGAACAATCTCGCCACTATATATAACGTGTACAATTTTCAATTTGTATGTTTATTTTAATGATAACAACTGCCTACTTCATAACTGTAACATTTTAACAATGAAATGTATTTTATGTATTTAAATGTTTCATGATTATTATAAGAAGTTAGAGATCATTTTGCGAATTAAGAATTAAGTTTGATTCTACGTGGTTGTTTGTCAAATTTTCGTCAAAGAATCTATAAGACTTCCCATCTTTTATTTTCTGTTGAGGGGTTCAAACATACAAAGTCTTTGTAACATTCATAAGTGACTAGAAATTCACGACTAAGCTTTCAAGTGTTAATCATTAGGAGATGGAGGAAGGATTCGATTGTGACCGATTTGGTTTCGTGAACTATGAAGGGTGGATGTCACTTCCCTGCTCCCCGCACTTTGGAACGGTAACTCTTGACGAACCTGAAAGAGGAAATTGAGTTAGCATTGGTCTGAGAGATCTGGGGGCGTGACCTCAGAGCACAGGGGACAACTGGTCGAGGCTGGTCATGCACGGCCTTCTTATGGGAAGTTTGTAAAGTGTTAGCTCCGCTCTTAAAAGACCTTAGTGAGCACCCTTACCTCCGGAGACGAAAATCCCTGGGGTAAGGTAAGGAATGATATTTTTAGGGTCGACCTTTTCTAACTCCTTCCTCCCTAGTGATAAGGCAGCATCGCTGCAGATGCTGGTTGTCCGAGGGAAACACCTTACTGCTGTCACACCCCTCCATCACAGTCAGCAGTACGACTTCGCCCTCAGACCTTGGGTAGCTTCTTTTAGTCTCATCGTTCTCCAGTCGATCTGCCTGGCATGGTAGAACCTACAGCAACCTATATTCCAGCCAATATAGATCGGTTAGGTCATCATGATAGGCAAGCTCGACCACCACATCAAAGTATCAGCTGTGATCGGGCGCTCACGGGTTAGATGTGTCAAGAACAAAATGAGTTCCCAGTTGATTTTCACAGCTATATATATATATATATATATATATATATATATATATATATATATATTAATAGGCTAATTAGAAACATACATAAAGGGAAAAACAAGATTCTACGATACAATACAACCAAATCACTCTTGATAGAGATTCTCTGGAGGACGTTAAGACCTTATCTTGGCAGTATCATCGACAATCAAGGTGGATGCGATGAAGATGTGAGGGAGCAGATCTTCAAAGCAACGGTTGCATTTTTACAGTTGAAAAATATCTAGAACTCCAAACAACTTTCAACAAAAACCAAAATCAGGATTTTCAATACAAATGTCAACACAGTTCTACTGTATGGAGCGGAAACTTGGAGAACTATCAAAGCCATCATCCAGAAGATACAAGTGTTTATTAACAGTTGTCTACGCAAAATACTTCGGATTCGTTGGCCTGACACCATCAGCAACAACCTACTGTGGGAGAGAACAAACCAGATTCCAATGGAGGAGGAAATCAGGAAGAAGCGGTGGAAGTGGATAGGACACACACTACGAAAAGCACTGAACTGCGCGTTACAAGACAAGCACTCACATGGAACCCTCAAGGTCAAATGCGAAAAAAGAGGAAGGCCAAGGAACACATTACGCTGAGAAATAGAGAAAGACATAAGAAGAAGAATGAACGAAAACTGGCAAGAACTAGGAAGGGAAGCCCAACAACAGAGTTGGTTGGAGAAAACTGGTTGGCGGCCTATGCTCCATTAGGCGGCGGTAACAGGCGTTACTAAGTAAGCAAGTAATTTGTGAATTTAATTTTTCTAGGGAATGCTGAAAAAATATGTCAATTATCTAGTTCACATAAATTCTTTATCTGTTAATATTCTATGTTGCAATTATAAGAGAACACAACAGTCTTAGATAGATGATATCTTAGATAATTTTTAAATAACATGATATCACTATACTTTTATTCTTCTTCTTCACTATTGATAATATATCAGTAATAATAATAATAATAATAATAATAATAATAAATTAATCTTGAAAATTTATTAGTTTGTTTTTTTCAACAACAACAACTTTATCAAACTATTCAAATAATTAGTTAGTTAATTACACAAAATAATATTCAATGGAAATGCGTCATTTTGTAACGACGATTAACTACTTACTATATTATAAATACTCAGGTAATTAATTAATTAATTAATTATATATTTATTCATGACATAACATCTGCTCTCTGTATTGCTCTATTCCCATAAGTTGAAAAGAAATGTGTTTTTTTCTTTTAAGGAAATAGGGAAAAACGCACGCCTTCTATTCTATTTGTTTAAAATTAAAAATTCATCTGTCGCCTGCTAGCTAACCAACCAACTAACCAACTAGCTAGAACTCTAATTCAGTAGATCATCATACTTACTTACTTGCTTACTTACTTACTTACGCCTGTTACCGCCGCCCAATGGAGCATAGGCCGACAATCAGTTTTCTCAAACCAACTGTGTCCTTGGGCTTCCCTTTCGGATTCTATCCGATTTTTGTTCATTCCTCTCATGTCTTTCTCTATTTCTCAGTGTAATGTGTTCCTTGAACTTTCTTTTTTCCTTTGACCTTGAGGGTTCCATGTGAGGGCTTGTCTTGTGACGCTCAGTTTGGTGCTTTTCGTAGTGTGTGTTCTATCCACTTCCACCACTTCTTCCTGATTTCCTCCTCCACTGGAATCTGGCATGTTCTCTCCCACAGTACGTTGTTGCTGATGGTGTTTGACCAATTAATCTGAACTATTTTGTGTAGACAACTGTTCATAAACACTTGTATCTTGTGGATGATGGCTTTGGTAGTTCTCCAAGTTTCCGCTCTATCACAGCACCCCATTATCATCGTGAATATCTTCTCCCTCCTAAATATTCCACAGTACCGCGAAGATGATTCTACATAGACTTTCTGTTCATGATATTAACTGCTTCAATATCATCATGAAAGTTGAAGTGTTGTGATAAGTCTCAGTGAATAGATTGTTCGACATTCACCATTAGTGTCGCTATTCTGTTTATTGCTGACCGGTCCACATGAATTCCAGCTTGCTAGTCTCAAGGTTGAACATCTACTGAGTTTTTCATCCCGATCAGTGATACTCCGTTCAAAACATCCCTCTACTTTTCACAATTTTCATGATCTTCATTCATTCAATATCTTCAGGAGGTATCCCTTGCTTCAGTTAGTTGCTACTTCACCTTCCTCCCAACTCTTTTTCAACCAAACGATGATCATAATTGCTGTTGGCTGCTTGTTTAACTTCTGTACTTCCACTGGTATGCTGTATGGCACTGTTTCTGGCGCTGATATTCATGTTTCACCATTCTTTATTTGCTTGGTATTCTTGGTAATTTCTTACAGGGTCTAAGTGGGTTCGTCTATAGGATGTTGTGTGTATGGCTCCGATGTAGGTTGGGTTCAGCGTTTTTGGTCCATGCAAATGGTGTGTTCTAGGTGCTCTGACCAACTGTTTCGCCACTCCCGAACCCTCGTTGGAGAATGGTTTGCCATCTTTGTTCGCAACCGGTCACTCTTCTTCACTATATTTTCCTGCTAGCTACAAAGTTTGTATCATGTAGTTCTGCGGATTTCCTTCTCGTGCAGCCCACTCTGCTGTTGTTTCTACGTCTTCGTTATATTTCCGATTCACAGTTCTAATACTGTTTCCAAGTCGTTTGTTTGTGATTGTGTGTTAGGCTTGCGTCTTGGTTTCGTCTTCTTTTGTTCGATTGTTGTCGATTGTAGTCTTCTTGTTCTCCTAGCCCGAATCTATCCCATACTCACCATGGAGACGGATTCTTCATGTTATTGCATCGTCACTCCTTCTTGTAAATCGATTGACTCTTGTCACTTTTTTGTGCAAAACTATCTCGAATTTGCTGTTTCCTCAGTTGTCTAATGTTTCTTTGATTTCAGTTTCATTTTGGCCACTACTAAGCGATGATTTGAAGCCATGTACGCTTCCCACTTCGTTCCTACATCCTCTATAGTTCTCCGGAACTTTTTACTGATGCAGATGTGATTGGTTTGGTTCTCCGTATTGTGGTACGGTAAAAATGAAGTAGCTTTGTGTATGTGTTTGTGCAAGAATCTTGTGCCTTCAACAGCCGTTTTGCTGAAGACACATAGATTTATGAATCTCTTACTGTTTGTGTTCCTTTCTTCCAGTTCGTCTGGTCCCATGATATCTCAATATCCAGTGTTGTCCATTCCAACCTTCGCTTTCGAGTCTCTCGTCAAAACCGTTTAAATCAGTTGCTTTTGCTTTTTTTCGGGTAGAGTTTTGGAGGTTTGTGTTTCTACTCATTAGAAATCATCAATCAATCATTGTTAGACCACCATTAGAAACCTAGAAGCACTGGACGGCCGTTTCGTCCTGGTATGGGATTCATCATCAGCAGTGCGCATCAATCACGACTCCTGCACCTCGAAATCATTCGAACCCAGGACCTTCGGTATGGTGCGCGAACGCCTAATTATTCGATCACAGCGTCCGCATCCAACGGTGTTAATGTCTAACTCTGATTGATCTGGGAATTTTGCGCAACCTCACCAATTTGTCTTTGGTAGTTACTTTCTAAACCCGACAGGGTTGAACTCCATCGGTCACGTCTTCTCGATTAGAACTCTGAGAATTCCTCATGAAGCTAGTCACTAGTGAGAACTGTTACGATATTTTCGGGAAGAGTTTTTGGAGGGTTATGTTGTTACACATTTGAAATCATCAATCAATCATTATTAGACCACCATTAGAAATCTGGAAGCACTGGATGGTCTAATAGTTAGACGTCCGCCGAAGGTCCTGAGTTCGAGTCCTGCGGGTTGCAGGAGTCGTGGATGCGCACTACTGATGATGAGTCCCATACCAGGACAAAACGGCCGTCCAGTGCTTTTGCTTTACTTAGTTACATATCATAATTTTGATCATTTTAGTTATTCATCAGCCAGAAGACAAAAATGTATTTCTAATAATGTAGAAAGTTTATGAAGTTCGTTATGCTAATGTTATCTATCACAGACTAATCTTAATTAGAGAATTGTTTATAAACTCATAATACCAGGTATATGTTACATCATGGAATAGAATTCTTCAACCCTACTGTAGATCAAAGCCAGGTCTTACATAGTATTCAGTATTCAATAGATGACCTACCTATTGCTCAAGTCACTTCATCATTTTCAGTAATTATCAATCAAAAATCAATGCTAGGAAATTTTACATGAAACGAAACACAAATTTTTATATCGCATTTTAAATATTACCCATTCGATAATGGTAACAGTTTAATATAAAGACAACCATTAGAAGCTTGGAAGCACAGTTGTTTCATCCTGGTATGGAACTCATCAGTGTCGGTGCGCATCTACGACTACTATCACTCACAGGATTTGGAACCAGGACCTTCGGTCTTGCACTCGAACGCTTAACTGACGACATGTATCGGTATTGTAGTCTATCCTCTATCAATATAAAGTCGCACGACCTCATCCACTACTTCACACTCGAACAGCGTTGAACTCCAATGGTCACGACTTCTCATTAGAGCTCGGAGAAACTTCCTCACGTAGCACATGATAATTTGGATTATAGGGTTGTGGAGATTGTTGGGTTGCTTTTGATATCATGAACTGACCAATGTTAGACCACCATTAAAAACGTGGAAGCACGGTAGCGCAAGACCATGGATTGGTCAAAGTTAGGGAACAACACTGTTTGGTGCCGGTTCAGCTGTCCAGGGATTAAGCGTTTGCACACGAGATCGGAATTTGTGGGTTCGAATCATGCAAGTAGCATGTGTCGTGGATGCACACACTAATGTTGAGTCACATTCCAGAACGAATCCACCATCCAACGCTTCCATATTTCTAATGGTGTAGTCTAACACTGATCGATTTTAATGAAACTCAACAATCTCAACAACCTTATCATACAAACAAATTAATAATCATTACTACTTACTTGTGATAAAGATTGTCCAGGTATAGCTGTTGGATTTAATAATATCATATGATTAGTTGAATTCGGTCGAATAAACACCGGATCATTATCATTTTCATCTTGTATTGTAATGGTAATTAAAATAGAAGCAGTATGTGAACGATGCTCATTATTCAATGTTTGGCGGAGTTTTGTTTTATTCTGTGTACTATTTGTCACGTGTTGTAATGTTTTTCCATTCTCTGGACCATCATGTACATAGGCATAAAATGTATAAGTTGCTTGTCGTTCACGATCTAATAATGTTCTTCAAAGTTTTTTGTTTGTTGGTGTTGATGTTGTTTCATTTCAAAAGTCAAAAGAAGAAAGAAATTGGGTTGTTTTTTAGTAAAGATTGATGAAACAATAAATATTGAACATTGAATTTGTGTTCATTATAAAAAGGATAGTTATTCATTAAAACAACAACCTACTATGATAGAGAACAAATCAGATTTCCAACAAAGGAAGAAGAAGTGATGGGGGCTAGATAGGAGACACATTGATGACAAGACAAGTCTGCACTTTAAATTCTCAATGTACAGTGGAAAAAGAGAAGGATCAAGGAAAAAACTCCTTCGAGAATTGGAAGTCGACATGTGAAAAGAATGAACAGTATTTGGATAGAACTGAATAGGAAAGCTCAGGACAGAGAGTAGGTTGAAGGATACTGGTTGGCAGCTTATGTTTTATTTCAACTTATGAACTCTTTAAAAAATGAACCAACTTTATTTCAGTATAATGAAAATTCTCAATCAACCCATTTGGTAAAAACAATTAATACAATGAAGAAAGATATTTCCGATTTAGTTAAAATATTACTTTTTTCAACATTTACGTAAATTTTTTAATAATTATTATTTTTGGAATCATGAATCGATCAATGTTAGACCACCACTGGGAACCTGGAAGCACTGGACGGCCGTTTCGTCCTTGTATGGGATTCATCAGTGTCACAGACTGCCTCGACGAGCATTGTTTTGTGGTTTACGAGCAGGATGGAAGAAAGCTAGAGGAGGCCAGATCAGAACATGGCAGAAATGCATGAAGTCACTGACAAGTGGAATGAGTCATGTTGGTTGTTGTCCACTACCTGATTGAGGTCAGCGAGATGATATTAATCGATGGTTAGATTCCCTGAATGACATGGCTCAAAACCGTTTGCAATAGCACAGGTGCATTTATTCTTTGTGTTCTCTCAAATCCTAATCTTCTGGATTCTTCAAAACCTTTAGTTTCGTCTTTCTAAACTTATCTCACTGAATCATACTTCTTGAATAATATCTTCTAATCCTAAGCTCTCCGATTATTGCTAATACCTTTACTTCCTCTACTACTATTGGATTTGAATTGACAATTATATCTCTGTGCTGATGTGGTATGGCAACATGAACTGATGTACTTACGTACGAGGTCCTACGTTGCATCTGACTGGCTGACAATATTATCCGAACTCTTTCAAATATATGCGAATGATGTTGTTTACAAGAATATCAAACGCATCACAATCAATCTATCTGGTTTACAGATCAAAACCAACTCCAATATTTCAAGAATAACTGTCATAATGAGAAGATTTTGACACATTTAACTATGAATCTATTGTATACAGGTATTTTTATAAGTTTCTATAACTCATCTCAAATAATCAGAGAGGATGAGTGTAATTTTTGTATCGTACGAAAAAACATATCATTTTCTCTCAGATTATAACAATTGCGAACATCTTGATTTTAGCACTGCAGAAGACGGCCGTTTCGTCCTGGTATGGGACCCATCAGTGACAGTGCGAATCCACGACTCCTTCACCTCGCAGGTTTCTAATGGTGGTCTAACATTGATTGATCGATTCATGGTTTCAAAAATGTGCAACCTAACAATCTTCACAACCCTATAATGCAAATAATTAATATGTTATTCGGAAAAAGTTATAGTTTGTCATTTTTACGTTTATCAGCAGTATTGGGCTATAAAAATCCTTAAATTTCATTGAAATCATGAATCGAACAACATTAGATCATTATTCGAGACCGGAAAGTAATAGATGGCCGTCTCACTACTTTAGTGTGGGACTCCTCAGTAGGAATCATTCACGACCTTGTAAACAGGAATCAAACTTAGAACGTTCCGTCTCATGCCCGACGACTGAATTGACATTGAATGATGTTTATGTTTAGACTTGAATCAATTCACGATATCAGGCGACCTTGATCTATTCGGTTTGTAAAATGAATATGGTGTATCAACGTTTGTTGATCCACTCGAACTTTGAGATGTTGAAAGAAAAATATGTGGCTGAGGTTGATTATCATGGTTGAGTTTCGTTCTCTGAGCTAAATATTTGTGTTGTAGAGCTTTCAGTTGTTCTTCTTCTGAGCAACATCCCACATAAATGGGCAGACGTCATTGGCGTCCAGTACCCTTTCAGTACTGGATCACATAACCCAACTGGAGGCCCTTGTTTAAGGGGTCTCGATGCCAGTTGACACACTACACCGAGATGCAGAGTGTTTTTAGGACAACCACATAGGGTCGGCGTCAATAGTCCAGGATCTTTCGGGTTACTTCCCAAACAAGAAATCCTAGAAAGCTATATCCGATTAATTCAAATTTACCTACACTCGGTGGACGGGATTCAGACTTAGAGACGTTCATTCCTAATCCCCCAGAGTGGCAAACCACATCCATGGCCTTGCGACAACCATGAACACGTACCATTATTCTGGACCATGCTAGCTAGGTACGGTATCCTAATCGTTCGGACACAGCTTTTAGACGCAGCGCTGTAAACAACGCCACGTTGCGTGGCAAGACCACGTAGTGATGTTCGCCACCACAATCCCCAGAAGGCTCCGTTTATGCGAGTCACCTAATATACACATTCAATTAGATGATGAGGCATTTGGCTACTTTAAGAGAGTCATAGTTAATATTTAATACTTATATTGTCGCAATGTTTATATTAAAATAAAGAATGACATAAAAGTTTAGTAAAACAAAGTTTATTCTCTGTTATCTACATACTTACGCCTGTTATCTCTTTAATATGAAGTAAACTAGTTTACATTTTTAATGATGTCTATTATATAATTTACATAATCCATACCAAAGATACATTTATATTAATTATTTATTCGATAATCAAATCAAAATTAAATTAGAAATTAAACAGAAAAAGACAAGCGTTCTTTTTTTTTAAAAAAATAAATTATTTTTAATAATTTAACAATTGAAATTAGTTTGTATTAAGGAGACTAATTAGAAATTAATGAGGAAATGCTTTTGTTTTAGATAGCTTTAAATGAAGTTTGCGCAACGAATTCTTAGATTAATCAAAGATTAGATATGAACACCGTTGGATACCTGGCTGGTTCAGTGATTCAGAGGTGAGGCGGTCACTCACGAAGCCGAAGGTTCTAGGTGCTTATAGGTTGTAGGTAGGTACGCACTAACTCTGACGAGTCCAGTGCTAGTGTGGTGCGAGCTACTTATAAGTAGTATATGACATGAGTGTAAACGTAATGTCTGGCAGTGGAAGATGGGGAGAGATCAAGAAAGGAAGAGTGGGGGGAACACAATGTAAGTTGTATGAAACGCATGAATAGTGACAATGGATTGATGTTTTGTAGCAGGAACAGTCCAGTTCGATATGATGAACTGATATTTTGCAAATTAAGGATTTACGATATGGTTTTCCTATTTTACTGAGTAACTCTGTATTTTTCGTCTGGGTTTCTAATGGTGGTCTAACAGGCATTCATTCATTCATGATTTCAGTTTAAAACTAAGATCCGCATAACTCTATAATGCTAAAATGAAGATATTCGGAATTATTGTTATAATCTGAGAGAAAATGATATGTTTTTTTGTACGATACAAAAATTACACTCATCCTCTCTGATTAATTGAGATGAGTTATAGAAACTTAGAACAATACATGTATACAATATATTCATAGCTAAATGTGTCAAAACCTTCTCATTGAGATAGATAATCTGGAGATATTGGGGTTGTTTTTGATCTGTAAACCAGATAGAATGGTTGTGATGCGTTTGATATTCTTGTAAACCACATCATTCGTGTATATTTGAAAGAGTTCGGATAATATTATCAGTCAGTCAGTCGGTCAGATGCAACGTAGAACTTCGTACGTAAGTACATCAGTTCATGTTGCCATACCACATCAGCACAGAGTTCAGGTGGCGATGCAACCCAATGTTGAAGGAACATTTTGCATTTCGAGTGTGAGAACCGCATCCCGAACATGCTTGCATTGTTGCTTAGGGTGGTCAGAAGATTCTGCACTTTGTTAGCGTCTTCACCGAATAGAACTATGTCATCGGCATATTCTAAGTCAATAAGCGAGCCACCTGGTAAAAGGTCTACTCTTGAAAATTCAGACGTTACTAACATAAGAAAAGATGATTATCAGAATCGTACGATAAATATATATATATATATATATATATATATATATATATATATATATATATTGGCACGATATATTTTTCATACAATCTGACCATATATAAACAAACATAGTCAAACATTTACACATCAAAATTTAAAGGTCAAATTGGCAGTTGAACTGTAAGGATAGCAAATGAAAGATCAAGTGTAGTAGTAAACACAACCTTATTGGATAGTGAACAAATCAATATTACCAGAAGTAATTCAAGGTGAGAACAATGTGCAACTAAATACATAAAATAAGTTTAAGCTTTCATATGTTAAAGAATTTTAATAAACCTTATTAAACGCTCTCTCTCTCTCTTTCACACACACTTTTGAATGAAAACCTCAATGAACGAGTTATGACTTATTACAACTTGACCTATGCAATAGATGAAATCATTTTAAGAAGAAGAGTATAAAGAAGGAATATTCGAAATGAAAAAAAAGCTCAGAATATCACATATCAACAATACGAAATATACTATTTAATAATAAATTCCTACGTCAGTGGATACTACTTACAATCCAGCATATAAGTAGTATAAAGTAGGGTGTTGTTCATGAGTTCCTACTAGGGTGGAAGAGTACCCAAAGATGAAGACACATGACACTATCAGAGTTGATTGAAGACTAGAAGAGATGTGTAAGAACACAGTCAGTAGCCTGCTGTTATCGGATGTTTAAATATCACGTGTACTTATTTCGTCAAGATACTATATGCATTACGAGGTTGTGAAGATTGATAAGTTACACATTTTTGAAACCATGAATCGATCAATGTTAGACCACTCCATCAGAAACCTGGAAGCACTG